TGTCCCTGTAGTACACTGTTTTTAAGTCCTTTGGGTATAGAYCRAGAAGAGGAATAGCTGGGTCAAATGGTGGTTCCATTCCCAGATTTCCAAGGAGTCTCCATACTGCTTTCCAAATTGACTGCACCAATTTGCAGTCCCACCAGCAATGTATGAGTGTGCCTTTTCCCCCACATCCTTGCCTACACTTATTGTTGTTTGTCTTCATAATAGCTTCCATTCTGACTGAAGTGAGGATATGGTTTTGAGAAAAAGGAAAAAGAAGTTTTATTGCTTTGCTAACAAAGGGGAAACACAGGGGACTCCTGTTCCAGAGGCTGTGATTTTGCACATTAAGGAGAGTAGAGGACTTTTAAAGAGGTTGTTCAAAGGCTATATTCCACATGTTCTGTCCAGAAGTTGTAATTCACTTGTTAATTTGGAAGACAGTCATTTCTGAGATTTTTTTTTTGGTGTCATCCCCAAAATCTGAATTACTTCATTCCTATAGTGGGACAGATAAATCTGCATAGGATGGGGAAGAAAGGTAATCCTGTTTCCCCTGAGATTAGGAAGAAAGAATTTAGGGAGGCATGGGGAGAGAGGAAGAAAAAGTAATATGTTCTTTACAAATCATTTAAAAAAATAAATTGCASTGGCAGAACAAGGCCTATATTCAAAGCATAAAGTGGACCACTGTCACATCTCCTTATATCCAACTTCAATTCCTGATCACTCCCATGATTTAATCCTTATTAGTTACTTAATATGTATTCTTCCACACCCTACCTTTCTTGATCATGTAAGCGCAAGTGAGTATAAATATATTTATATGTGTGTGTATGTATTTGCAAAGATATTTTGCTATTTAATTGGTGGTTTTCATTAAAATGCATACACATTATACTAATACTCCGCAACTTGCTTTCTTTTACTTGATAATATATTATCACCTTTATAAATTAGTATGTTTATATTTATGTTTGTTTCTTATGGCTACTGTTAGCAAATTACCATCAATTTTTGTTTTTGTGTTTTTGGTACTAGGGTTCTAACCCAGGGCATTATACCACTGAGCTACAAACCCAGACCTTTGAATTTCTATTTTGAGGCAGGTTCCTGCTAAGTTGTTGAAGCTCTCACTAAATTGCTGAGACTGGCCTTAAACTTTCGATCCTCCTGCCTCCTGAATTCCTTAGATTACAGAGACTTTTCTTTTGCTCCTTCCTATGCTTCCTGCTCCTCCTCCTCCTTCTTCTTGCATAAGTATGTGGGTAGGTGTGCACTGGGGAYTGAAGACAGTGGTACTCTATCACTGAGCTAAATCCACAACCCTTTTTAATTTTATTTTGAAATAGGGTGTTGCTAACTTGCTCAGACTGGCCTTGAACTTGAGATCCTCCTGCTTCAGCTTCTTGAGTAGACAGGATTATGGGTGTGTGCTACCATACATAGCAGGTTCACTTTTTTTTTTCATTTTTCATATCCACTTACCTTTTCTCCTTTTTCCCTCTTAAAGTTTTTCTTTTCTTTTTCAAATTTCTTTTTTCCCCCCTCACCTCTCACTCTCTCTCTTTTCTTGTACCTAGTGAAGGGAAAGTGAGGAGCAAGAGATGGGTAAGCAAGAAATGAAAGGAGACCAGACAGAGATACAAATAAAGGCTGACAAATAAAGGCCCTTTCTCTATAGTGCAGAGAGGCAAAACAGGCTTGGGTTCCGGGACTTTTATGGGGGAAGGCTCAGGAAGGAGAGCTGGGCACMTCCTAATGCAGGCGGTTAGGGCTTGGGTTGGTATGAGGGAATGGTGAGCCTTTCTCAGAAACGCTTTTGGGAGGGAAAGCGAAACTTTCTTTAAAATGATGGTTGTCACTTAAGATGGCTGTCCAGATGCTAAGCAAGGACCTTATACCTAGGGCCTCATGTATGTTAAGTGTTCTCTCTTTACCCCTCATGTTTTCTCACACATTCTTTTATTTTTTTTTATTTTTTATTTTTCTCACACATTCTTTTAAGGTTACGTGGTTTTACTTATTTTGACAAACATCCTATATTTTTCTCTGTGCTCAATAACCATATATATATATTGTCAAATAAAAATATGACTTAGCAAGCAGAGACTTTATTTGAAAGAATTATTGCCTGGGGAGGGGTGGGGTTTACTGCAGTAGAAAGAGGGGGGCTAAGGGGTGGGGTTGGGCTCAGTGGTAGAGTGCTTCCTAGCATGCATGAGGCACTGGGTTCCATTGTCAGCACCACATAAATATAAAGACATTGTGTCCATCTAAAACTAAAAAATAAATGTTAAAAAAGAAAGAGGGCAGCTATTCCCTGAGTAAGTGGGGGAATTAAATGTAAGGGTGGCTTGACTGTTAGTAGATGAGAGAATGTTTTGCCCTGAGGTCAGCTTATAAGGAAGGGCCTTAAGGAGGGTTTACTGTTTGCTCAGCCTTAGGGTAGGTGAAAGTACAGAGGCCAGGAAAGGAAAGGAATTTTACCAAGAATTTTGTTTTGGTTGGTCAGTGGAGACAAACATTTCGGCCAATCATTTGTGAGATAAAAAATAGTAGAGGAAAGGGAAGAGAGGGAGGGAGGGAGGAGGTGGGGGAAAGGGAAGTACTGGGGATTGAATTGAAGTAAATTATATTCCATGCTTGTATAATTATGTCAAAAGAACTCCAATGTTATGTGTGTGTGTATGTGTATATACATATATAATATAATATAATTATATATAAATTATATAAGATATAATATATATATATATATATATATATATATATATATATATATGAAGAATTTAGAAGATCTGAGGCTCACCTTGTCCCAAAGGGACTTTATGGGTCTTATAAAAATCATATGGAGGACAGGGCTGGGGTTGCAGCTCAGTGGTAGAGGGCTTGCCAAGCATGTGTGAGGCACTGGGTTTGATCCTCAGCACCACATTAAAATAAATAAATAAATAAATGTATTTAAAAAACTCAGTCTTCATTAAAAAAAAAAAAATCACATGGGGGTGTTTCTTTGTACTGTGTTGTTTACAGGAACTCAACAGTGTGGGAGATTTTTAAGCCATAACTATTTTCCAGGAGCACAGGGCTTGGGTAAAATTCAACATTGTCAATATGCAGGATTTAATGCGCTGGGGCTTTAGAAAAATGAGATCCTATTAAACACAGTTCTGATGTCCTCATAATGCTTCATGATGTGGTTGTTTCATACCATTTAGTTAGTCCTTGATGGATGACTTAGTTTTCAGGGGTTTTTCCTCCATTTCACTTCAGCAATTTACACACACACACACACACACACACACACACACAGTGGGGGGCAGGGGGAACCCAGGGGCCTGGAACATGCTAGCAAGCACACTACCACTTACCTCTATTTCCATCTCTTTCTATTTTTATTTTGAGACTGAGTCTCACTAAGGTGCCCAGGCTGGTCTTGAATTCCATCATTCTCTTGCCTCAAGTTCCAGAATTCCTGGGATTGATTATAGCAGTGCACCACCACACCAGGTTCACTTCAACAGTTTTTAAAATAAATCATTTCTTTTAAACTTTGGGGTTTCAGCTGGTCCCTGTGACACACCCAAGTAATCCTTGCGCATCCGGAGGCTGAGGTAGGAGGACCAAAAGTTCAAGGCCCTCCTCAGCAAGTGGTACCCTCAACAACTTAATGAAAGCCTGTCTCAAAATAAAACATAAAAGGAGTGGGGATGTAGCTCAGTGGTAAATCTCCTCTGGGTTCAATCCCCAGTTAAAAAAAAAAATAAAGCAATAGAAACAAGCAAACAAATAAACAAGCAAAATAAACTTCAGGGTTCCTGTAGTTGGTAAATTTGGAATTCCTGAAGCTACATTTCATCTTTCAAAACCTATTTATTTATTTATTTTTAAAGAATCTTTTTACAGAAAACTGCCCATTCATTTACACTATATATATATATATATATATATATATATATATATATATATATATATATATTTTTTTTTTTCTTGTCTTCCACCTCTCCCAAGGAARGAGGTGGTGGGGTGGGTGTGGGGAGTGGGGAACAAACAGTACCAACACCTTTTCTTTTGTCTTCTTTTTTCCKGAAGCAAGGACTCCAGCAGACTTACTGATTTCCTTCTGTTTGGGAGAGCCGGGAACTTTCCCACCCTAGGCTTTAGTCTCTTTTAATCCTTAATCCTCCGGGGTCCTGGGGAAGCATCGGAAGGTGTGGCCCTGGCAGCGGCATCCTGGCTGAGCGCCAGGGGTCGGTAGCTTTTCCCTCCCTGGCACCCCCAAGATAGCTCCGAATGCTGCAAGGAAAACCTAACATACCCGTAAGGAAAGAGACGTGCCGAGCTCCACGCCACAAAGACACATTTCCAGGATCTTTTAAGGATCTTACCGTTGCTTTGCAAGGAACACACACACACACACACACACACACACACACACACACACACACACACACACACCCTGGAATGTCCCTTTAGTTCTTTCAAAAGGGCTGGCTATCTTCTATAAATCAGAGGGAGGAGACCGCGAGATAAAGGGAGAGGTCAGTCGGTCCTGCTAGTTAGCGAAGTTCAGGTAGTTACCACCTCTCTGTCTTTAGTGAGGACACCGTGGAGCCAGTCACAATAACCTCGGATCACCCCATTTGCTGATTTGAAACAAGGAACCATAAAAACCTGAAAGGCATATTAGGTGCCACAAAACACTGAGGCTCGACTGCCAAGGTGAAAAAAAAAAAATCGCCCTTTCTCCTGCTGCTGCYCCCGTGGTGCCAGGTTGCAATCTGCAAATGTATTGTCTGGCCCTTGGGGCTTGACAGTTAATGATTTGTCGCGGAAGGAGCCCGACCRAGGAGCGAGAGGGAAGCGAGCGAGCCAGCCGGCGAGCGAGCTAAGGAGGTAGARCCAGCGCAGGGCCCGAGCTCAGTCCCCGCCGGCTGCACAGGCGCCGCCTCCTGTCTTCCGGGCCCCGGCACTTCGTGGGGTTCCGGGCGCAGGACAAGTCAGGGGTCCCCATGGAGACAGACTCGCCGGCGAGTACCGGCACCCCGCTGCCCCGCGCGCTGGGAGAGGCGGGCGCGCTGGGTAGCCTGCTGCGCAGGATAAAAGGCAAACTCTTCACCTGGTGAGTGGAGGGAGCGCGCGGCGGCGGGCCGGGGAGGCGGGAACCGGAGCGGAGMGCGGGCCAGACCGCCTGGCGACCGRCTCGCACGTGTCTGGCAAGCTGGGAGGCAGAGGTGGCGGCGGCATGGACTTTGGTTCTGGGCGCTCAACACGAGCACCAGGATGTTGCGCTTTCACCTGGCTTCCTTAGGTACTTCTAGCCCCTCCCTTGGCGCTCTTTTAGGTCGTGGCACTGCATTTCAGAGGATCTGGGTGAAATTCACCCTACTGGCATTGTTAGGTCGGGTCCCCGGTGGCCTCCCGGCGGATGCTGTGGAGAAGGGGTACCCATCCTCGGGCTTGGCAGGTGGATGAGTTCCACTTCTGGCACGGCGCCCGCATTCCTTCTGCCTCTGATCCTGTCAGACGGGGGGCCGTGATCTGCACTGAGTTCACCCAAGTAACAAATCCAGGTTAAGTTTAGTATGGCAGAACAGAACCTGCCTCGTTCTTGGGCCTGAAGCTAGGTGACATGGCCACCTCCGGAGATGGAGTCCAGGGAAGGCTGTTTCTGGTGTCACTCCCRCTCTGAGGGAAGTAGGGAGAAATGTTCTTAAGGAGCTGGCAGCGACTCTGGGGAAAGCATTTCTGTGGTTACTGGAGGACTTGCATTCTGGAAATACAGATAACCCAGGACCTAAATAATGAAAGCCATTTATTGAGCATTCATTCTGCGCCAGGTATTATGCATAGCAATTTGTATGGATAGTATCATCTCATCCTCCCCAGTAGGAGATAGTGCTATTGTTATACCCACTTTGCAGATGGAGAAACAAAGAAGGCTAAACAATTTGGCTAGGACCATTAGATGACCTGTAAGGAGAGGTGACGGTAATTTCTGATCTAAACTGCACCTTAACCTCTCCTGGCCAGGCACCTCCTAAAATGGGCATTTGATTTTTATCTTTTCCCTTTGGAGATCCTGAAAGCTATATTCTGAAAAGCCATACTATTTTCAAAACTAGATCAATAAAGGTGTATGTATTCTTGTCATATAAATAAGTATAGTTTTAAATCGATGCACATGTTTAAAGGGGACATTTGATCAAAAATCACCTTGTTTCCAGCCGGGCACTGTGGCCCATGTCTGTAATCCCAGCATCGCCTCAGGAGGCTGAGGCAGGAGGATGGTGAAGTCAAAGCCAGCCTCAGCAACAGCCAGGTGCTAAGCAATTTAGTGAGACCCTGACTCTAAATAAAAAACAAAATAGGGCTGGGGATGTGGCTCAGTGGTTGAGTGCCCCTGAGTTCAATCCCCTGTGGCCCCCCCCATCACCTTGTCTCCTAAAACTTGTGTATATCCTGATAATGTAGCTAAAAGTGCTCAGCTCTGAAGTAGTATAATGGTATGACCAAGGACACATATTCTGTATTCAAATCCTGGCTAGGTAGACGTGAGCAAGTCACTTAACTTCTCTGTGCTCCAGTTTTTTCTTTCTTTCTTTCTTTCTTTCTTTCTTTCTTTCTTTCTTTCTTTCTTTCTTTCTTTCTTTCTTTCTTTTTAATTTGTAAAATGGAGATAATCATAGTAACTACAGAGGCTGGGAATGTAGCTCAGTAGTAAAGTGCATGCTTGGCACATGCAAGTCCTTGGATTCAGTCCCCAACACCAAAAATAAAATGTAGTAAAAACAAACAACAAACAACAAACAAAAACAAAACAAATCAAAACTACAAACTAAACAAACCAAAAAAACAAAATTACTTCCCAACCTCAGGACAGTACTTACCTTGTAGGACTGTGTGAAGATTAGTTGGGAGACTATACATGGCTACACAGGAGTGGGCACACAGTCTGGTCATTTCAGTGCCTGCATAGGTTGTTGTTACCATTAGTTCTCTCCATTCCTGGGTGATGGGAATGTGGAGGTGATTGCTCCAGGAGATATCTGTGTCCCTGAGGCTAGGCCAGATGATATAGCAGATTTCAGTTTAGCAAGATATAATAAATAGCAATAATTACATTAGCAATTCTCCTAATATTCTCACATTTTCAGAGTCCTGGTGTGTTTTACACTTAGAGGCTTTAGTAGCCCATTTATTTATTTATTGTGGTCCTGGGGATTGAATCCAGGGCTTTGAGACAGGCCTTGCTAAGTTGTCCAGGCTGGCCTTGTGATCCTCCTGCCTCAGCCTCCTGAATAGGTGGGATTCAGGCATGTACCACTGCACCCGTCTAGTTACTTTTTAAATATGAGATTTCCTCTGTCTCCAAATGTACTTCCTTTTTTCTTTCTTTACTTTTTTTTTTTTAACTTTCTTTACTTTTTTACTTTTGTCTGGAGACTTTTTGCATTTCCAGTGGATAGAGTTCTTTAACAGCAGGAATCATATTATTTTCATTTTTATATCTCCTACAACCTTTAGCACACAAATGAATGAAAGCATGAATTGGAATTGTTCATTTAGGTTTTTGGTCTTACCTATGCCAAACATCTAGGCACTTCAATTCTGGATGGCAATTTTGTCCAACCTAGTGACTAACTAGTTTAGTTTAGAGAATACCTATCTGTGGTGAGGGAACTATGGGGATGCAGAGCAGTTTGTGAATGGAGATGATGTGTTACCATCGTATGGATAGGATGCAGAGGGATTGGTTTGTAATTGCACAGCTCTTTCCTACTCCTTTTACCAAAAAGTGGAAAGAATAGCCCTTTTACCAACTGGGTACCAAATACAGAACAAAGTTGGGGGCCTAGAATTCATTCTGTTTTCATCATGAGAAGCATGTATTCTAGGTGACCCCAACTCTTAGCTATCTGCCTCCCTAAGGTACAAACAGCTTTTCTCTTTGATTAAGAATTTCAGGTTGCTCATTAAGTTTATTGAGCACTTACTATGTGTTAGGATTCATGATAATGAGTGCCACATAGTCCCAAAAAAGTCTCTGCTCTTAATATTTACTTTCTTTTTTTAAAAAAAAAATTAACTTTTTTTAGTTGTAGTTGGACACAATACCTTTATTCCATTAATTTATTTTTATGTGGTGCTGAGGATGGAACACAGGACCCTGCGCATGCTAGGTGAGTGCTCTACCACTGAGCCACAATCCCAGCCCCTAATTTTTACTTTTTAAAAATATTTTTTAGGTGCTTGCTTTGGCAGCACATATACTAAAATTGGAACGATACAGAGAAGATTAGCATGGCCCCTACGCAAGGATGACATGCAAATTCATGAAGTGTTCCATATTTTAAAATATATATATATTTTTTTAGTTGTCAACAGACCTTTATTTTATTTATTTATATGCATTGCTGAGAATTGAACCTAGTGCCTCACAGATTCCACCTAGTGCTCCACCACTGAGCCACCACCCAGCCCTTAATTTTTACTTTTGTCATTTATCACTATCAACTCAAATGACCAGTGCTGTAACAAAAGTCTGTGAGTGGGCTGGGGATGTGGCTCAAGCGGTAGCTCGCTCGCCTGGCATGCGTGCGGCCCGGGTTCGATCCTCAGCACCACATACCAACAAAGATGTTGTGTCCGYCAAGAACTAAAAAATAAATATTAAAAAAATTCTCTCTCCTCTCTCTCTCTCTCTCACTCTCTCTTTAAAAAAAAAAAAAGTCTGTGAGTGCCTAGAAGTACCTGAAGATGCTTATTATTTAATTGAATTCCATCAGGAGGTTTACATATTGTCCCACAGATTCTTTTATTTATTTATTTATTTGATTAGAGGAGAAAGAGGTTTTATTGTTGTTCTGGGTGTAGTGGCGGAGAGCTGATGGCCAGGCCTGGGTGAGTTCCACCAGGTAACTTTAGGTAGAGGGGAAGGGATGTACCCCAGGATGGAGAAATCGTGGATCACAGAACCCCTGTTGATTGCTGTTGTTCAGTGCACTTCCATTAGGCTGTTTTATCAGCTGCTTGGAATGAGGAGGCAACTTCTCTAGGTTGTTGCCCATTAGCCCAAGGAGCTTGGAGCAGGTGGGTGGAGGAATGATTGCTGGCTGGACAGCCTGACCTGTTTGGTTAATTTCTCAACCCTCTGGGGAGATGTGAAAGGGGCAGGCAGTATCTCTCCCCACKCAAATCTAGCGGGCCTTCCTCTAGGCCTCTGGTTGCTCCGCCTCAGGCTGTAGTCCTCTCTTTCCTCCAGACCAGTTCTAGACAACCTCTGGATTCTTCCTACTTTCCTTCATTCCTTTTTACATGTTGATTTGAAGGAAGCAGCAATGGCTGCCAGTGCTTGTTCTCCGTTTTGACAACACTTCCTGAATATTCCCAGATTCCTTCTCCTTTTTCAATCCTTACCTTCACTACTTCAGTGCAAGCCTTTATCTTAATCTCTCACTTGGACTCTTACAGCAGCTTAAGACATGACCTGCCTTCCTCCTCCTCAGTCCCCTGACCTCCCAGGATCCAGAGTGATACCAGCTAAGAAGAAAGGGCACCGATAGCTGTCACTGTGTGAGAATTCACCATGTATCAGCTCTCCTACTTACATTTCATCAATCCTGTGACACTCCTATAAAATATGTTTTTTTTTTGCTTTTTTAAAATTTTTACTTTATTTGTTCTAATTAGTTATACATGTCAGTAGAATGCATTTGACATATTGTATACAAATGGAGCACAACTTCTCATTCCTCTGGGTATTCATGGTAAAATAGGTTTTTTAATCCCACTTGACAAGAGTAGGTAAGTAACTTGCCTAGGACAAATGGCTGCTGTAAGGCAGAGCTGAGGGAGTGTCATTTGATTCCAAATGCAGACTGTCTCTACTATTTGCAGCATCTCACTGTATCATATTCAAGTGGAAGCTTCTTAGATAGTCCTCACATCACCTACACCAGTGATTTGCAAACTGAAGGTGAGGCTCTTGGGGTTCCCTGGAGGTTCCTTAGGGTTCACCATGGGGGACCAATGGAAAATTAGGAGTTTGTGTGCTTCTGGGAGGGCCTCTGGGGCTTCCACCAGATCTGCTGCTATTGTCAGTTTTATAGTTGGGCTTTT